CCAGGGTAAAGTGGTGAGGTGGTGCAGGATTTTGTCCATCAACAGTATGTACATTTGTCTTTTGTTCACCTCTAAGCCGAGATATGGTGCTCACCACCTGGAAACGCGGAAATTGAGCGATCATTGTAGACCAGTAAGTTGAAGGCCAATGGGCACAGGATGGCCCAGGAAAACTGCCTTGAGTGCCAGGCCTTGAAAATCCTTGAATGCCAGCAGTGCAAGCAAATGCAAGCAGGTTGAGGAAACGACTTGCCACCAACCAGCTTCCATGATACCTGAAATTGCTTAGAGATGTCAGGTTACATTGATTTAAGTATCATTGTATATTATTAGTATATTAGTATATATATATATACTATCTTACTTAACACATGTTATTTAAAGTATGTGAAATTGGTAGCGGGCCAACCTCAACAACAACAGGTGGAAACCCCGTTTCCAGTGAAGCCCTGCTTCAAGAGGAACACAACCTCAAAGGAATGGACCCTGTCCAAAAGGTTGGAGCACCGCTCCACCGCAGCCCGACCTATGGCTCGCGCTTTTCCTCAAGCGCTATGGCTCCCAGCCCTCCCACCTCGAGCCCCTTCTGGCATCGGTGAGAGTCAAGCGTGACGAGACACCTGGAGATCCTAGGCTGGTGAGTATACACGTTTCACACTCCCCAAAATCAGTGAAACTTTAAAAGATCAAACAAAACCTTTAGGCAGGTGCATCGGAGTTCAACCATTTGAGTGCTTGCTTGCGGTGAGCATTATAACGGAGAACGGCAGTCTCATCAAAGATCTGAAATTGCGCGGTTCGTAAAGTCGTTCTGAGGAGATCACTATCCATGACTTTGGTCAAAGCATCTGCTAACATTAATGTTGTCGGAAGCCATCTGAAATGTGCATGTTCTGCACACCGTTCTCTAATAAGGAGAACTTCCAGAGTCGTTCTGTATTCCTCACATGTGGGGATTGCAGTTCTAGTTACCAAATCAAAAAGGGATTTGCAATCCGTGGTTATGATAGCCCGGTTGAGTTGTTTGAAGCCTTCCGGAGGACATCTCCAGTTGAACTCAGGGACGAGCAAACATCCCCAAAGAAGTCGCATCCAGCTGAGTCGGTCGACACTCTGGCTCATGGAAAAGGCTTCAGCTGAAATGGTGGACCTCACAACTCTTGAGATCTTCTTTGAGGACCAAATCAAAGGTGACAGTGGACCTTTGCGGTTCTGATCGAGACACGTGGACGTGGCGCAGATCAAATGACCTTGGAATGAACTTAAGTTCTTTGGGCTGGCAAAGGAAGCATCTCCGAACGAAATGTGAGTTACGTCCTCTGGGGTTATGGATCGAAACCAAATCTTAGTGTCACTATGTTCCTGAGCTTCACGCAAAACCTTGTTTGCCAAAAGCATGGTTCCAACAGTTGGTTTGGACAGTTGGCATTGGACTTCACCTAGTCTGGAAGCGATGTCAGGTCTTGTGTGTGTTACGGCGTATTGAATGCTTCCAATGATCCCTCTAAGTTTTGACAACTCGGTTTCCGTTAAGTCGGAGTCTGGTTGTTCACGGCGGTTCTTTCCGATATCAATGGCCATGATACCATGGACATAAGCTTCTTGGGAAGCAGAGATGGATCCATCAGGTTGCTGCTCCAAGTCAATACCCGTGAATTTGAATTTACGCTCTTTGAATGAACCGAAGGGTAACCGTCGTTCTAGTTCCTTGAGTTGCTTCCGAAAGAACTGGTCACCATCACCTAGGCCATCATCCACGTGGGTTCCTAACACTCCGTGCAAAACAAAGTCTTTGCCCTTTCCAGATGACAAAAAATGGACACATGGTTCAAGAGGGTGAGTCTGAAAGTTAAGTTCACGGAGGTGTTTGGTCAGTTCCCGGTAGAAGAGCAAAGGAGCATCTACACGTCCGTAGGCGTTTCCAACTAGTTGGCAGATCTCCGTGGGCTTGAGCTGCATTTTTCGACGGAGTTCTTCTGGAGGTTCCATTGCTAACGGATTCGACGCATCGGCCTTTCCCCTTAAGAAAGCAGTCGTGATGTCAAAAGAGCACAGGTTCCATTTCATTGAAGCGATGCATTGTAGTATTGTTGTACGGCCCTCCTTGGTGAGGGTGGGTGCGTCACGCTCCACCTCGCAAAGTCTCGGATCCATAAATCCTAATACGACTAAGCGAGCTTTCGCTTTCCTACGACGGGGGTCGTCGCTCTCTTTCCAGGTCAATACCCATCTGGATCTAAGGATCTGCTCGGGGTTGAGTTTCTGCCTAAGGATAGGCCTGATTGCGTTGGTTTGCAACCAACACGATAGCTCAAGATCCTTTGCTGCAACAAACAACTGTTTTTCTTCATGGGACAATTTCTGAAGCTGAACCTCTGCTCTTGCCCGCTTGCCAGCTGTCGCTACATGTGCCATTTGCTCGGGGTTGTCTTCAGATGCCCAGGCTATTAAATCCTTATCGGTAAGGGGAATCTCTAGGGCAAATCCTTCTTCTTCTGTCGGCTGGAGGGTTTCAGCGACGAAGGCAAACCCATCGTCGGCCAGGAGGCATGAGTCTCCTGCCTCGCCGAACATGGCTGTTTCGCATGTCACGAGGTTTGGTGACATATGGTCGATTGGTTCAGCGAAATCGTTTGAAAGGCATTGAATGAGCAGTCCTACTTCAGTCTCCATGAAAGCAGCTTGATCCATCAGTTGTTCTTCATCATTTTCTTCTACCGGAGGGTCTGGATCAAGATCAATGGCTTCTCCCATGACTCGAGTGTCTTCTTCATTCAAAGGCTGGCTTGCCGTTGAGGGCGGGAGTTCTGGCACTTCGAGCGGGATATTCGGGGTAATTTCTCTTTCGGGTTGGGCATCAGGTGTTGGTGGAACTGACAGGCTTGTGCGATGTGGTTGAAGTGACCGAAAACGAGTATCGGCATCTACGGCAGTTCCTCGAGAATTGGCAGGATTATCTGTCAATGGAGTCGGGTTTTCGGATGTTTGATTTTGGTTCCATTCTCTTAGGGACATGGGCCTAAGGTTCTCTGGAGGACATCTGATAACACGGTTTTGGTGACTTAGCCATACAGTGGATTGTCCCTCTTGTTGAATGACACGCGCTGGACCATACCACCGGCCACTTTCACCTCGAGAGACATTCTTTCTACGGAACCAGTACATGACCGACTGTCCTGGATGGAAAGGTCCTCGAACAGGGCAGGATCTTCGCAACAGAGCCCTTCGAATTGCTTGATGGTTATCAGCGTCTAAAAAGGCTATTCGTGCTTCATTTCGTCTAGTTAGAGTTTCATGGAACTTTGACGTTTCTGGGTTGTCATCTTGTAACGTGTGTGCACTCGTGGTTTCATCTCCAGTGAGCGATCCTGGTATTCGAGTCGCCTTGCCAAGGACAATCTGTTCTGGCGAATAGCCCTTGTGTCGAGCCATCTGGTTCTTGGCCATGCAACACGCCGCGAGGGTCCTATCGAAATCTTGGAGATCTCGAATCATGCGGTCTTGGTCCACACGGTGCAACATCTGCTTCAAAACTTGCCCGTGTCTTTCAATGCGACCCTTTTGCCAGGCTTCAGAGGACATGAATGAGGTGATGCTATTTGCTTGGAGAAAATCCATCCACACCTGAGAGGTGAATTCACCTGCAGGATCAGCATACACGTGAGTGGGTGCTCCGGCCCATGACATCCAAAAGTCCTGAAACAGTGAGGTGGTATCTTCTGCGGTACGAGAGGTTGTCCTTTTGGCTAACTGAAAGGTTGAACATTCATCGACACAGTGAATCATATACACTTGGAAACCCGCCCGACCTTTCCAGAAAATGCCGTCTAAACCCACTACATCATTAAAGTCTTTGGGGTCATGAAGCTTTCCGGGACGTTGATGTTTGACTTGAATGGACTCAAGACATGCATCACATGCGTATTCAAGGACAGCCTCAATTATCGCAGGGTCAGCCTTCTGTGCAATCAAGTGGGCTTTCAGCTTGATGGGATCTGGATGTCCTAGGTTCTTATGTAGCTTCACAAGTTCTTGTTTTTGAACACTTGAGAGTCTTCTAAAAGCTGGACCATGAATCGGTGTCGGCGGAGGTGCCCAACCTTCGGGAATGGATATTTGCTTACCTAGTTCTTGTTCTGATTGAGGTACCGCTATATGTCTGTCTGTGTATCGGGGATCTACTGCTGGCACATCTCGGAACGTTTGCTCTTCATCTGGCGTTCCTGCAGGTGGACGTTCATGTTCATGTGACTCATGCGACCGTGGAGCTCTCTCAGCGAGGCTATCGGATCGACGGCCGAAAGCTGTGAGCGTCAAGCGACTAGGAACGCTGGCACGGATCTTCTGAGCACGAGTGAGGTTCGACCAATTGTCTTCACCCATGTCCAACAGTTTCAGCGTTTGACGATGGAGACACCAGGTATGTCGAACGTCTGCTTCACTAGTTGATGGGGAATCTAACGGGACCTGAAATCTTTCGGTGCCTCGGCAAACAAAAAGATGTGTCCATTGAATCTGTGGATTGATCTCTCGAAATGCAATGAATGTGGGGTCGTCGAGCTGTATCTTTCGGTTCCCTACCCTTGGTGCCAACCTATGAGCGTCCTGAAATATGCGTTTCCAAACATCATGCTGTTCCGGTGGAACCTCATCTCCAAAAGAGAGAACGTCAGGCCTCAGGGTCAATGTGGATGGATGAAAGACATCATCAACGCGACGTCTCTTGCTTACCGGTTCTCCCTCGATGTCCTGATGAGCAAAAGCCATGTTTGGATGATAGTTAACGGGATCATCTACAGTGTCTAGGATCACACGGGCCACTTTGTTGGCAAACCCCTTACAATAGGTTGCACAAAATTTGGATAGTTTGAGGCCTCCCGTTGATGTTGTATAGGATCCTGCAATCGACACATGTTGATGCGTTTGAGGACATTTTCTATCATGTAAGTGGCTTTGAACAAACTCGGATGTGGACAGCAGGTGACTTCGTTTCCTAAGAAACAGTTGTGTGTTTGGAATCCTCAGTCCGAATGCACACATGTCCAGGTGAATCGGCAAGGTCAACTTCTGCATGGCTTGTCCGGGGGAAGTGGCAAAGGCATCAGAGCCCAGTGGATGTTCAAAATGAAAATGACGGCCATGTCGACGCTGGTACTGGCACAAATCCAGGCATAGCTTTAGATGTTTTCCTTGATCAAATCTTGATTGCATGACATGTTCAAATGACCGTGTACTGCGATTCAGATTGAATCGGCTCCATCCTCCCCACGGGCCACACTCCGGGGAACACCAGATATGCTCTGGTTGCCAGTGCTCAATCAGTTCCCACAGCTTTCGCTTGCCTGTGAAGGTTGAGAGGTCTCCATCCTGAAATGTGAACCTCCTAGCAGAACCTCCTAACTGACGAATGCTTTCGGTCAAAGGACTGTTTTCAGAAGCATACACCTCTAGCAAATGCAAGCGAGGGCGAGGTCCTGAGAGCACGTTGGCTTGCGCATACACGTCATGGACTAAAGCTTCAGCAGCGTCCAGGGATGGAACATCACAGCTCGGCGATTCCTTCTTCAATTCTTCACGCATGTATTGAACATCCCCCTTGAGTTCAGGATTGAACAGCTGATCTAGCTTGGCAACGCTGTGCAACAGACATTGGGCATGTTCCTCAAAAGGCGTCAAGTTCATGGAATCGGAATTCGATTGGCTGTTTGTCCCTGCTGGACAGTGCGGAGCCACGTGTTCATCGATCGGACATAGGCCACGTAGTCCTTCTGTTCGGGAGTTAAACTTCCGAACCGCTGAATCAGCCATTGGACATATCCGGGGTCCTCGTTGCGCACCGTGCGATAATCCTTCCCCTTGTGCTTCTTTCCCCAGCCAATTGGCTTGGTTCCCCACATACCCAACGCCGGAGGCAGGTTGGGCAGCTGATCGGGTTCGGGAATCACGGGCCAGGCCTGCACGTGCTGATCGGTCAGCGGCTGAGAGGTCGCCGTGCCCGGTGAGGACATGCTGGGCATCGGAGTCGAGGATGAAGTTCCCGTTGCACGGACCGTTGACACAGCGGCTGGTGTCATTGTCGGAACGGGTGTCGTGACAGCTTGGACTTGAGCACGCTGCATCAGTTCTTCGGTCACCAACAGTTCCCATGCTGTCTCCGAGGTCTCCGATTGAGCTTGAAGTCCTGGAGCTTGACTCGGTGATGGAGGATTGCGCATTGTTCCAGCTCTTGCCGGACTGGAAGCGCCTCTCTGATTTGGAAGCTGTTCTAAAACATCTTCCAACATGGCCCTCTGGCTCTGGAGTTGGCTCTGGAGTTCGATGAGCATGGTCTGGAGTTCGTTGACCGGCATGTCCCCTTCGGCATCGATGGCTGTCGGATTCTCCATGATCTGGAGACTGCAATGCAGAAGCATCGAGAGGACTTGGATTAGGACCTCCGACACCTGTCGAATCCCCTGGGTGATCTCGGCACGTGGCGGCATTCCCGAAAGGACGGGGGTGTGCGCGATCGAGAAACTTCGAAGTCTTGACCTGTTTGCTGCGCTGGGATTCCGACACATTGGATGAAAGACTGCTGAATCCTACAAAATCTGAGGTCTCATGGCTCGGAACCTGGTGGCCTGAGGATGGACGACTACACAGTTCAGCTACATTCAGTAGATACAAACCTGACTTGTTCACATCTAAATGCAGCTTCCGTTTTAGACGATGCAAAACGCAGGTGTCTGAACGAGTGTCCAAGGCTCCACCCAACAGCTTGAAAGCTCTCTTGGAAAAAAGGAAGGGTGTTGAGCCAGGCACAACCTCTATGGTCAACCACAAACGTTTCTGATCTTCTCCAGAGATCAGCGGCAAAAGGATGCGGCACTCACTAGTCAGATGTGCACCGTTGCCAAAACGAAACTTCACTTTACTGTCAACGCGTTTGATGGATTCTTGAATTGTGGAATCCAATTCTTGCAAAAACAGTTCCATGTTAGTTGATCCTATCACACATCGTGAGGCTCCGGTGTCTAAGATTGCATGTGAGGCCTGGTGATCGCTCGAAGCGATGAAGCTATTGTCCATCGCACAGGGCCGGTGTTCTGGCTTCTCTTCATTCCTGGCCGGGCGAGAGTCATGTGACCGAGACGTGTCCGAATCGGATGGCTTTCGGAATCGATGGCAAAATGCCTGCATGTTCTTAATTAATCTTTGATGTTGCTCACTTGAACATTGAATGACGAAGGCAGTGGCTGAATCCCCAAGATTACAACCCCTATCTACCTTACTCCCTTCAACAATGCTCTCGAAATCGGTTGGTCGATCGACACTGGCCTGAGAGGCATCGGAAAACACTTCCAAAACATCTTCAGCTGGATCCGAAAGGCTTTCCAAAAGTGGTGGAATGCCTGAGTCAAAAGATGCTTCAGCCAGGTTCGCACTCTCACGGGTCTGAGTGGTGCTTGAGTTGGCACGATTTGGACACTCAGCCCGCCAGTGTCCGCGTTCACCGCAAGCTCGACAATGTGATCTAGCGATCCGTGCCAAGAGCTGTTCACGCTTCTTTCCCTTGCCTCCTCCCTTCGCAGCCTTACCCTTTTTTCCTCCTTTGGAGTAGGGATTTGAACTCGACTGCACTGGCCAGAATCCTCGGGTCTTCCGCTTGTCTTGCAACTTCTGTCTCGCATCAATGTAGGTCACCAATGCATCATGCATCGATGGAGTATCCTGCAGAAACTCTTCCAATTCCTGTTCGAATTGTTGCACTGCGCAAGCGTCCTCGTCGTTCTGGGCGACTAGTGCTTCAATGTAATCTCCATCAACTTCGTCGTCCAACGCAGTCAAGAAGGTGAGTGCTTCCGTCGATGACGCTGGATGCGAGACCCCTGATTCTGCATCATGGGAGGCAGCAAAAGCCGGTTCGCTATCACATTCTGTCAAATTGACATCATAGACCTTAGTCTTTGAACTCTTGTTGCCCTGCAAATCTTGGAAAAAACGGCTGCCCAGCAAACGAAAGGCCTTAGTGACCTCAGGATACCTCAACTTGCCACCTTGGTCAAGAACAATCTTCTTGCGGTCATCGGGTGACAATGTCGACTGGCGTAAAAGGACATACGCTCGAATCTCCTCAAGGGTCGTGCCCCTTGCAAGCAGCTCTTCAAAATGCACCTCTGATCTGGCGACATACGAGTCGTGGCTCTCGTCGCTCTTCTGCAGGGTGCCATAGAGGGCTCGCTCAAAAGTTTCATACTGTTCTTCCAGCATGGTCATGCCCCAGGATCCACCTAGAGTCTCAACCAGGGTGATGACCCCGTCAACTGAATTGGTCTTCAACTTTTCAGGTGAAATCCTCATGACCTTGTGGAAAGCCGCACCTTCAACCAACAACGCCGCACGGGGCGCTAGCACCTCAAGATGCTCCTTTGGCCAGATGCTGGCAATGAATTTCATCTTTTGAGTGTATTCCTGGACATTCGTCGTTCCAGGAATGAACTTAGGAAGACTGGACCATGGGAGCGACGTGGAACTCGACACGCTGCCCGAGGCCTCCTCGGGAACAGGAATCGACGATGCATCCACTGGTGGAGGCATTTCAACAAACCGTCAACAAGGCGTATCGCCTTCAATGCTCAATGTGTCAATTGCACAACTCAATGCACCCTTTCAAAGTCTAAAGCAACAATGTCAGCCCACCGACAATGCTCGCCTGCAATGAACAATGCACCGATGCTCAATGTACAACACCAAGCAGCAACACGTTCCAGCAATGTACAATGCTCAATGTGATCGGCCGACGGTCAACACCAAGCAACCAACAAAGCAACCAATGTCAACGTTGTATGACAACACGCAACCACGTGATGCAAGATCAAAATTGAAGCTGTCAGGTGAAGTCCGCTCGAAATGCAAGAACTGTCAACCGTGTCCGGTTATCGTCCGTTCGAACGCAAGAGCACGACCGTCACACTGGTCAGCAGAGCCCTGGATCCCACTCTTCGGAGCAACAGGCTCCGCTACCAATGTGAAATTGGTAGCGGGCCAACCTCAACAACAACAGGTGGAAACCCCGTTTCCAGTGAAGCCCTGCTTCAAGAGGAACACAACCTCAAAGGAATGGACCCTGTCCAAAAGGTTGGAGCACCGCTCCACCGCAGCCCGACCTATGGCTCGCGCTTTTCCTCAAGCGCTATGGCTCCCAGCCCTCCCACCTCGAGCCCCTTCTGGCATCGGTGAGAGTCAAGCGTGACGAGACACCTGGAGATCCTAGGCTGGTGAGTATACGCGTTTCACAAAAGTAAACCTATGACATATATATATATATACACATTCCATAAACATTCCATGGAAGAGCTCCATCCCCTCGGAAGAGTTTGCAGGTCGACCTTGACAGCTCCTACCCAGGTCTTTCCAAGCAGCTCCCTGTCAAACTGAAGTCACCCCCATACAATCCCACAAAGCCATTTTCACCACCCTGTCGCCTTGCGGCCGCTTTTCAACGCCAACAGCCAACACCTGAGCCTGGCACGCGTGCGCATGTGCGCGGGAACTGCGGGCTGCCAGGGATGAGGAAGTTGGGACGGTGACACACTCAGTGAGTTGTCCGGTGTTGGAGTGACATAAACTATGGGATTCGGGTTGGGGAGAAAGCATCGCATGCTGCTGGAGAACAGGTTCAGTACGTATGATTTCCTGCAGGACCAGGTTACGCCACCAGCTGTGTCAGAAAGCTTGCAACTTCAATGTCGTGGCCAAAACACCAACTGTGACTGTGACCTGCCTGAATCATACAACGAGTCACCAATACACTACCCTACACCACTGATGGAACTCCCCTGCCCCTCTCGCCTCTCTCCAGGACCTGCTCTTGTGGCCATGGCAATAGAAGTGTGCGCGTACACGAGAGCCAACAGCCAAACCAGCATGATCACACACATCCTGCGGCTGGCTTCGACTGCCGGTGCACCAAAGATAAAGGCGTGATAAACAGGAGCTGACTCTAAAGCATGTTGACCTGCGTGTGTGTCACCCACTCAAGGAACATGTTCTTGATTGATACTCGGTTCCATTCCATCTATCAAAGAGATGATTATCTCCAACGCTCCTCTCTCTCTATAAATAAAAAATAGGAAGATTGTAACAAAAACCACCCAGAATCACGGAATCAGAAATGTCATGAAATTCCGATGTTTACTGCTGGAAAAGATACACTCCAAACTGACATAGCCCGAGTAGGGGAAAGAGGTTTAGGAGCTGTGTTCTGGCAACTCTGGGGGGACTGAAACATATTGCAAAACAGATCCTGAAAGTTTCATGAACACATGAAATAATGAGCTATTCATTCTGCCACGAAAAACACGTGATCTGAAGAACCCCTTCTAACCTCTATACTATACACCCTCTAGTTTGCCGACCTTACGAACCCCACGGTGCTATGGTGCGCCTTGCGGCTGGACGAGATGCGCAGGCGTCGATGTTCGAAGAGCTGTTGAACACCTGACGGTGCCACGACGGTGCCCAAAGATGTTCAAACGGAACCCAAGAATACCCAAGACGTAAAACAAAAAGAATCCATGATTCCGTAACTTTAGTGCATAAGTATTGATTCATAGCCCCCTCGCAGAGTGGTTTTACATCTCCTTTTCCAACTCCTATACTTACTATTTTTAAAAAAACAACGAATGTGTGACCACACTGCTTAGGGAATACAACCTTCCTCCTGACAGGGAGTTCATCCGCAAAAGAAACATCACACGTTCTCCACCAAACCAAGGAACAGAATTTTCAACGTGCAACATCTGCTGTACAGTCTTCCAATCACATGTTGTCTGTCGTAAAACCCCTACCAGTCACTGAAGCGCACATGAACCTGGAAAGTCTCTACCCGAGACCCACGAGAAAGTGCACCGCCAGCATGCGGCAGGCGTGCGCGGCAGGCGTGCGCGGCAGGCGTCGTGGTGGGCGGTACGTGCCGGGCGGCACCTCCCATATGTCCGACGAAGCCCTGGAAATCGTGGAGCTTGATGAGGCCATCCTTGTCCTCGGGAGCCCCAAGCTGAAACCCCGGAATGGGCTAAAAGGTGTACCCTTAAGGCAACCATGTCCTAGGAGCTGCACTGCCCGTTACATCACCTTTGAAAAGGCGATTTTAGAGACTTTTGATATCTTTTCTCTCATTTGTGTCGGTTTTTTCCAGGTCCAAGCCATATATACCGACCCTGAGAAGGTGGCGCTGGCCGTGGATCCGAGAACTTGAACATGTCGACCACCTACAGGAGGACGTATACAGTCCCTATAGATCCCTATTGGGATCCAATTTCCTTCGAAACGCACCATGATGAGTCTCCTCGACATGGAAATCGTGGGACTGACGACGCGCAATGTCGCCTACGTGGTCGTGATGTATCTACCGTGGTGGTGCGGCAAGGCACCAGATCGATGAGGCTAGCCTCCTCCAAGCCCCAGCCTAAATAGGCACACCTCAGAATCAGCACGACTCTCAGATGTGGAGAGGGATGGATGGTGGCAAATCAATCAAAGCCCTGTGGAAGTGCCACTGAGGGTAAATAGGCTTGCAATTTTGTGATATCTTTTGATGGAATTTCAGCTCAGACTGAGCTAGAGATCCTGAGAATGATTGCGGACTCGATCCTGGGTAGTTTCTACAACTCACACCCTAGGGCCTAGGGCCAGGTTCCATACAACTCCGAGAACGAAGAAACTTCCAGTGGTGCTTTCGCATGGCACTACCATTCTCGCAGTCCCTCGTCCGCGTGCCTAGATGTGCATCTATACCGGGGCCCCAAGGGGTGGTGGGTGAAGAACAGGAACGCCAAACCACCAATTTTATGGCATCACCCTCCGATGTGCAGAAGACCTTCGCTCCTGGTGTTTTCAACCTGAACCAGGCCACATGTTCTTACACTCATCTTCATCCAAATGCCCAGAGTGGTCCGTGTCAAAGCGCCGGAAGGCCTGGCGGGCAAGATGTCGCCAGACGTGCGAACCCAAAGAGCCGGATTTAGAAAGAAGGACCCGGTGATTTCGCTTCCAACCAGCATGAAAGGATGTTTGATCTTCAAATCTCCCCATCGCCTCATTGAAATCTGTAGGCTATGCGAGACCATCAGCACCCCGGCATGTATGCCATACATAGAATGTCTGGGCCATGCTTTAACGCCGCAACTTCGTTTCAGACACCCTGCCAACCCCGCACGGCCAAATCCGGGTTGAAGCCACCTCGCTGATCTGCCGTTTTTCGGTCTCCAAACCTGCCAAAAACGCTCCACCAAGGCGCCAGGATCATGTGGACTGTTGAATGGAGAAAAACACCCCCCATCTCCAGAGTGGCTTTCCATCTCACGCCGCCGATCCGTCGGACTGGACGAGGGCTCCGTTCCGGTCCATCCGGGCATCCCCGTGGCGATAGCAGTCGCGAAGGTCCCGGTGGGAGAAGGCCAGTCGATAGCAGTCGCCCAGTAGACAGATGGTCAACCGTTACAGGCAGGTACCGTTTGAAAAGGGGTTTCACGCGCAGTGTCTTCGTTGGCGGCACGAATCCCCAGCGGGTTTGATGAACGTCTTTGAGGGGGTTGGTTCGGTGGACGGTTTGGTGATGCCCCCGCTCTGGTGGAACGCAGGTGGAACGCGCGGGCAAAAGATCGGGTCAAACACACTCGGCGACGATGGACAAATTGTGTCCCTTAAATCATGAATTTAGGCTACACAAAGTGCAAAAAGGATTAGTAAAGTCAATCTAAATTTGATTTAGGTACATGTCTTTTTCACTAAGGTGTTTGATATGTTTCATATAAATTGGCTTGTACATGTCTACACTCTGACTCACTAACATGGAAGTGGAAAACCCCTTGTTGGTAGAGAAAAGTAGTCTTCCAAGGGACCATTTTCTACTTCCATGTTAGTGAGTCAGAGGGTAAGATTTTCTGATGAAACGACATGCCTTCAAGAAAGCGTTTGACAAAACACACAGAACCGAAGTGCAATCACTTGGGTAAAAGCACCAGCAAACACACTCAGGCAAAGGTAAGCACTGCCCCAATGTTCAACCCAAAACTTGCCTATTGTCCTTGGTTGATGCATCTGACTTGCTGCACTGCTGTTGCATTTAGGTGTGATGGGTTGTTGTGCCCAAGTTGACCACAAGGGTGCTCCGCGCCGTCGCACCATCCGCGTGTCTTTCGGGCGTCCGTAACACCTCGTCCGTTCCAGCTACCGGACGACCTCGCCCAGTCGCTGGGTTTGCCGACCGGTGCAGCGCGTTTTCTCCTTTGTTCTTCTGTTCTTCCTCTCTTCATGTTCTCAACCTTCTTCCAGCCCGTTGCATGACCCAGTCAGGGATCTCATGAAGGCCTTGAAATTTCCATCCTTTGACTTGTCCTTCTTTGTATCGTCTTGTTTAAAAAAGCACGCCTTCTTCCTTCTCCTCTTCCTCCCCTCCCTCTTCCTCTTGCTCATGCGCCCTGTGCCCAATCCTCTTTCTTCTCGCTCTCCTCCTCCTTCTTGGTCTTCTTGCTTGGCTTCTTGTGCTCATGGGCGGCTGCCTCTTGAAAGATGCCTTTACCTTTGGCGCCTTCTTTATATACCGTTGCCCTTCCTTTGCCTTTTGCTTTTAACTTTTGCCGTTGCTTTGCTTGCTGCCGGCCTTCACATTGGTGTCGCAGGGGCAGGGTTTGCAGGATTTGGTTGAGATGGTGGGATTGCTGTGCCCAATCCACCCTAAGCCATTGCTATTGGACTGGCTACCACAGATCTTATACCTTGGGCACTTGAATCTTGAAATCAGCTGCAATGCAAAAGTAACATAGCTTTCAATCAAGCAGTTTTTCAATCACAAGGCCTTGTGTTTAAGATAGTCGCTTGAATGACAGCCCGTGCCCAAGTAAAGAGCTGCGTCAGCAGCAAGGACAATGCTAAAGTAAACCAAGTGGAAGCTTTCCCAAGCCAACATCACTTTTGGGCATTCACCCAAGTAAAAGGGCATTCCTAAATAGGAAACTACCCTCCAGTACAGACCATGCTCAAGTGCCATGCTCAAGCAAAGAAGTGAGATCCAGGCAAAAACAAATCTCAAGTAATATATATATATATATAAACCATCAACTAAAAATCACCCAGCAAAAATTTCACCAAATAAAGGACATGCCCATGTACAGATTTCAAGGCCCACTAAAACAGAACTAGAAAAAACACGTTTAAGATCTCATGAAGCGGGGCGTAGGGCAAGTGGGCAGATCAGACTCCAACGAACTTTCCTCTGCTTCAAAAGCAAGTACCCTGTGAGAGCACTTTGGACTGCAGTCACTGGGATGCCGGGGTCAGCTACCAATCAACCCCCCCACTTTGCTTCAATGACCTCTCTCCCCCACAGCAGATTGCATCATTGCTTGTGCAGCTGCTTGCAAAGCAGCCATGGTGACAAACCAACAAACAGCAACGCACACACACACAGCCGAAGATCTCTCACATGACACGCACCTTCACACTGGGAAAAATACCAGGGAACACGTCACAAGCAAGCCTTCTTTCACGCAACTTGATGCCCTCAAGGAAAGCTTGCCATCGTTTTCAGGCTTTCATCTTACAAGCTCATGTGGAACATCATCAAGTAAGTGTTCTCCCCATCAAGTAAAGAAAGATAAAGACTTTCGAGTGACTGCTGTGAAAAGAAACAAACCTTCAGGTGAATCCTCTTCCTCAAGTAAGGAAATGTACACATCCTGAAGTACATACCCTCCCTCCAAGGAAAGGAGTCAACACCTGGCATGCTCAAAATCAAGAACAATAATCGCATGTTGTCCTGTAGAAAGACTGCCCTTTTTGGACAGGGCCAACACACATATATAACTTGTAACATGTTTCTACGTACATATACGTACATGTGCCAATTTCGGTGACTTAGGGTGGCCACCTCAACCTGGCCCTTCTGAGCAAGCTTGAGTGAAACACCGGGGGAAGCGGCCCAGGTTCTGGAGCTTTGCTGGAAAGAGGCTGTGCGACTGCCCCAACGGCCCCCTGCTTGTGGTGAGTGATCGGGGTTTGACGAAAGTGTTTTCGGGGGTCGGTTCGGGGATGTCCCCATTCTGCAGGTGGAACCTTAGTAGGCAGGCTTGCACGAAGAACGAGTCAGCCCTTTGGTATCAGGGGTGTTGTCACACATATTCTTGGATTTGTTCAAGGAACCTGGAAAAATATAACAAATTCCCTTCAGGCTTCAGGCAGATCTCTGTCAAGAATGGACAGATTCTCTTCAGCCCTGCTGGCTTATCCTTGCCTTGTGCTTTCCCTTGTGCTTTTTAATTTCTCCTATCTTTGTCCTGCTCCTGTTCCTTGTCTTTTTGTTCTTTTGTTGGATCTTTCTTTCTTAATCTTTGCCCATCAAATTTCCAAAACCTTTGGCTAGCCAAAAGCCTTAGGTTTCTTTATGCAAACCCTATCAAACACAAAACACAAGAAATATCTTCAAAGGATACCCCTTTAGACTCCTACCCCCTGCAACTATAAACCAATCTACAATAATCAACCCCCCTGCCTGCCTGCTGGCTTATCCTTGCCTTGTGTTTTCCCTTTTACTTCTAATGTCTCCTATCTTTGTCCTGCTCCTGATCCTGTTCTTTTTGTTCTTTTGTGGGATCTGGCTTTTCTTTTGCAAATGGCCTGGAAGTTTACAAGGGGGGTTACTATTGCTAATTGAACATTATAAGTGCATATTATATATAATATATTATTGTAGTAACACTTAATAGGCTTGGGTCCAAGTGCCTTCTGAGAAGGTGGCAATGGATCCCTATGTTCAAAAGCCAGAGAGGGCGAAGCGCCCACACGAGAAAAAAGGCAGCGGCTCGGCTCGGCTCGGGTGCAGCTTCTCCCCGGACCTGCCAGGAGGCGCCGCAAGGACTCCTGGGCCTCACCGAACTTCTTCCGGGTGAAGGCTGCTCGACACCTGCTGTGGGACGGTGTAGCGGGTCGCCCCGGGACGGTGTAGCGCGCGTCGACGGTGGGACGGAGAGCGTAGGGTAGGAGAGCGGCGTGTCTTCAGGTGCGTGTTTAGGAGTGAGGAGCGTTTGGGGGATGGATAGGGGAACAAATGAAGGATGTGTCGCACAATTGTTTTCGGTTCTGATTGGTGGCAATACACTTGAAATATCGAAGAAGGATGCTGCAGCTACTGCAGCTAGTGCTTTGGCACAACTCCCGATGGTTTTGTAGCTTCGACCCGGTGGATGGATCATGGACTCTGATTGGGGATAAAGGAGGTCCGAGGATTGGGCTGGATTGGCGCAAGGCAAATCTAGCTTGTAGATTTACGGTCGTTCTTCAATGTTGTTCAATGCTATATATCTCTATAGTGACCACTGCTCCATGCGTAACCTTCGGAACCGCCGCTCGCTCCGCCTTGCTCCGCCCTGCCCCCCATCCACCTGGTGACCCAGTACTGCAAGGGATGAGCCGATTCCGTGGAGCCAGGCTCCAAATAGGGATGAGCCTCACGCGCGGTCCACGCGTCGCGCGGCGCGTCCCTCGATCCGGTCGACGTGTCGGTTCGGCCGCCGCGAGCCGGTTCGACCAGCGCGGCTGTTCGACAAGCATGCGCTGTCGGTGAGGAAGGGAAAACGCCGGGCGTTTTCGAATACTTAAAGATATTCAAAGCGAGTATCAACTCCTCTGATCAAAATGCTGTGCCACTATGAGCTTTCATTCAGGTGCAGCTTCTCCCCTACCACCCTGAATCTTTGGAAGGGGCATAAATGGGCCACAGGCCACCTGGACCTGCTCAAACAAAGCTCATCAAAGCTCCGATGTCCACCTAATTACTGCATTTGACCCACTGGGTGCTTCGCCTAAGGATGAACCCTAGGGCTCCAACTACCTCCGTTTCCAACGTGGTTAGGGTGGGTTTGGTGGTTCTGAGCATATGGTTGGAGCCCGTTGCGGAAAGACCACGTGAGACCATACCTGGCTTGGCCCTGTCGACAGACCCGACGTGAGATCGGAGCACCAAGGACTTTGGAGCTGGCCTGGCCGCCTCAGTAAGTTACAATTTCCTAGGGATTTTATTGAATAGCCTTTACCGAAGAACCATCGCTTTATCAAGTGTTTTAGCACTACAAAGCCAGATCAAACATGTTTAAACATGATCTTTGACTTCCAGGGTCTCGAGAAAGAAATATTGACCCCATTTCACACACCCACTCTCCACTGTGTGCCCTCATGGAGAGCCCTCTGACAGCCAGAGTCGCACCTTCAAAAGCTCATCCAGCTGCATCATAAAGCTGGCCTGGACCCAAGTGTCCTGCATGAAATCATGGCAGCCCAGAAGAAAAAACAAAGACCATGGAGAACACACCCTTGAAAATCCTGGACATCTCAGAAACAATCCCTGGGATCACCTTTCGGCTCCCGCATGCTTTGGAAAAATAATTGGAATCTCGATCGGTGGCTTATACGCTAGATCATAGAGCGACAGCCTCCAACCAATGTATGTGCAACTGCTCCCCCCAAAAAAGATGAACGAAGCTTCCCCTCAAACAAAAACTCACACACAAAAACAAAAGAAGCAAAACAAAAAACACACGTGAAACCAAAGGACCAAGGAATCAACTTCTTCAGCTGAAACACCGCATTTGTCGTTGAAACACACTGCGGTGAGCTGCCCCGCGCCGCTCCTCTAAGGTGAGCTGCCCCGAATGGAGGCCTTCCAACAAAGACCCCGTGCCTCGTGGCTTCACCTGGGCGGCGTGTCGCCGTTTCGCCCAGTCCGCCCGTTGGTGACAGAAAATGAAACATGAACAACAGCACACTCTATACCGGCGGTGTAGGGAAGGGTTTTATGAAATCCGTCCACATGAGGAGGTGGTAACTGAATTGATGAAGTCCAAAAGCAGGATCCGTGAGCAAATTCATGGCTCGGGCTGGCGTGGTCACGCATGTAGTGTCTTGTCTTCACTTGTCGCGCTGCAAATCCTTGCAAACATGTCTGGCCTGCTGCTAGATGTGTTGCGATTTTTGTTTGGGTTGACGTGTCAAACTGCCTCTGGATCAAATCTACCCACCTGTCACTTGACAGCTTCTAGAGCCCGTTCCTGACAAGCATTGCCACAAATAATCCAGCGCTGCACATTTCTCTGTGTGGGTTGTATGTATAGTAGATTCTATAGTACGTTGAGATAATCAAGCCCAACGCAAACGACGAACATCCGTGCTTGCGCACGATGCCACCTCCTCCTCCGGGAAGAGCCACGAAAGGAAGTCATGCAAATGAACGTGACCATCCTCGGTGCACGCCGCTGGTCGCAGCGTCCATCAATGGCTTGGTGAAACGATTAACGTATGTTTCTTGGAGCAGTGACCACATATTGTATAGACTTCTTGTAAGCGATGCCATTCTTTGGGGCGGGGAAGTCTTGAAAATTCAGCCACAATTAATCTCATATGGACATGTGGGCCCCAACCCTTCTGTGCTGGAGATTCTTGAACATGCTTAAACCAGCTTGATCAGCGACTGATGCGAATTACAACAAAATTGATGAACCAAACAATGCACATAACGTTGAAAGGCCCTTATACTTTCGTTACTTTCTTTGGAACGTGCACAACTGCCCGCGCTTGCCATGGAATCGATCTGAAGTGTCAAGGAGCTACGACTGTTGCACCCGAGCCTTTGATGAGTACGTCGAAGTGCTCTTCCTAAAGGCGTTGATCACGCCCAGCTGGTTCTCTTTGCTCTCAAGTAGGACACGGGGTTGGACAGGTGAGTAGCCAGCTTTCTTGAGTGTGCCGAACTCCGTCACAAACCACAACTAAACCTCCCAATTGCAAAACCATGCAAAAACATCGAAGTGGAAAGAAGGTTCTCCATTCTTGCCGCGCAGAAAACAGGTCGGTTGACTCAGCGCCTAGCAGAGGAAAATTTGCGCATCCGCATGGAAGTGGAAAAACATTAGAAAGACATAGCAAACAACAACAGCACTGCTTGGAGGGGACACTAGTCTTCCGGATGGGGGGACGATTCCAGTCCCACTTGGTCCAATTGTTTTAGCTTCCACCATAGCCTGGGCAAATGAACCTGGGACCTGGCCTCAGGAGACACAGAAGTGACTGGCCAAGATCTAAAGTTCGAGTAAGAAAGTGAGTTCACAAAAACGAGGGAATAAGGGTTCAGAAAAGTAGATAGAATGGCTTATGACACAACAAGCAACATATGTTCATGTCTTAAAGGTTTGGACTAAACAAACTACTAAAGCAATGGGCAGTTGTGTCGTCAGCTTGCGGATTGCTCCCAAACGCAAAAGGCAAAGACACGTTGGGACTGCTTGTGGACTGCTCCCAAAGGGATTGCTCCGACATGCTGCAGAAGTACGAACCCGACGGTCCTTTCGCTATCAGGTCTCCCGAAACGCACATGCAAACATATATAAGTTAAGATTCTTTTTTAAATACAACCTCAAAAATGTCCAATGTTCATGCCCACTAGGCCCCCCCACAAAACTGAAGAATATGCCAAAACACAAGCTCACAAGAGAAATTCAAAACTCACACGACAGAGATCACGTTCGCAAAACGCCAGGTTTCACCTGAACATATTCCAAGTACCCTGTTTGAGATTTCAATCATCTGGCCCGAACGTCCAAACAATGTTCTAAGTCTGATATCTGCTTAAGGAAGAATATTGTATACATATGAGGTAAGTCTTTGTCAGGGTCCGGAGCCTCCTCAGCAAAGTAACATAATGCGTAACACTCTAGCATATGTTTGTATGATCACACATCTGGAAAGGCGAGCAAGTCATAGCAAGTCACCTGAACAAAGGGACGGTTTCAACATGTTTCAACATCTTTCAACACACATCAGCTGCAGCTTCAACGAATCAGCCACCGGCTTCGTCATTGGAAAGGATCTCCGAGCTGTTTTTGTTCGATCACATCCAAGCCACTGGGACCTGAAGAGCTCCGAGCATCTCCCTCAAATGCTGCACCTGGAGGCGGTTTTGGAGTGTAAGACCAGCGGCCGGATTAGAACATGTTGCTGTGCTCCTTAAGAATGTGGAGTGGCTTCAAGAATAGCCTACGAAATGGCTGGCGATGGTCATGGAAGTTAGCCTGGCTTCAACTCCCGCAGCAGGGTTCTCTGGCTATGGCTATAGGTCCGGTCCTTGACATCTTCGGTAACCAACTCTGATGTATTAAGCCATGCTCATGCCGAATATTCGGTCCCAACTCTGGTTCCAAACTCGCGTTGCACAAAGGCAGGCATGACTCCATTCCCTGAAGGACATCCCGCTCCGCGCGTCCGCCGCTCTTCGCGGACATCAACAGCTAGCCGAGACGCCCGGTCGATGATGTGGTGTGAAATGCTGCTTTTGAATGCTCGTGTCGGTTTGGAAACATTCCATCTACGAAACCTTCGTTGTCATGAGTTCTTAGGGAACAGCTTCTTGGGAAGCTCGCTCCTGGACGGGCTTAGCTCCAGTCAGTTCTTGGGAAGTACTTCGTGTGTCTCAGACCTCGATGTCTCAGACCTTCGGGGCGGCACAGCCAGTCTTCTGGTGTGTCCCTTTTTCCTTCTGCAATGGGACATGGTTTCTATGTCTGGCTGCTGGCCTCTACTTGCACTTCTTGAGCTGGCTTCAGTCCTATGTCCCTTCAAAATGGGTTGCAGTGATGTTCAGAATGATGTTGAATCGAAAAAAACCATCTTCCTCAAGTTCCTTGGCTCCCTTTTCTGGGGGATTCTATCAAAACTCCGTCCTGGACGGAGCTCCGTCCCTCTGGAACCACCACAACTAGCTAGCTGCCATAGTCGATCATACACGGGGCGGATTGAGCTTTTACCGCTTCACCAAGGGATGCACCTGGCACCAATGAACAAATCGCAAATCATAGTGAATTAATCAATGCGATTTTCACAATGAGCCCTAACCAGGCCGAACCATTTATTATGGTCACCTGGTGTGTGATGGTTTTGGGAATTCTTGGCAGTCCACGCAGTCCTCCCAGAAGCCGCATGCCTGAATGTGACCGTCATCATTCACCATACTAGCAGATTCGACACTTCCTCGGCTCACACTTGGCAGCGAAGTAAGAATCCGGCTGGCACTCAACCAATTTGGAATTGCCCCCTGTGGTTTTCGAATAGCACTGTCATCTCTTTCACCCAGTTCAGGAACATCTCCAAATGCTTCTGTCCAGTACTGTCCAAAGGTGCGTTTTTGGAACATCTGCCGCTCAAGACCTTCTGCAAAATTTGGCCCCATCCCAAAACACTTGGTCCACTTGGTCAGCATATGTCAGCCTCACTAAAGCCCAGTGGCTTGCGATGTGCTGCCTGGTGCTGGCCTTGGGCGCGGAGGATGTCGCCACCGGCACGGAGGATGTTGCCGCAGTTCCAGCAAGATCCGGCGCCGGCGGAGCCTGAGCGGGATGGAAAGCACTGTCAGGACTGGCACACTCTGACTCACGTTCCCAGCAAGCGCATCACCAAGGCCGGCCTGTGGTGGGGAAGTGTTGGACTTTCCACCATTCGGGCGATGGAAACACGTCGAAAGCTTCTGGACTTTCGGACTTTCAAGGACCGGTTAGGTTTTTCTTTCCATTCGGATACAGGCCCCCCTTCTCCACGTTTGCTTGCGGTTGCTTGGAGCATTTTGCATGACCCCCCAGTTTAAGACAAAGGGTCTAGTTCGTTCAAGCTCAAGCTAACCGCAACCAATTTTGTGTTTGACATTCTTGGTGCCCCAGTCCTGGTACACATTGTACACCTTCAAGTGTAGCTTCAAATTTTGGGGGTTAGATTCTTTGTCAGGCCATTCTGAGCAAGTTGATTCAGCCTCATGCTGAACCCGGCGGATTCAGTGTCGTGCCGCTGGGCATCACACCATGCTAAAACGCTTCACTCCACCCGCAAAAAACGGCTAAGCCAAGCTCAAGGGGCGCCCACTTCAGCCTCGGTGTTGGCCTTGGAGCTCCTGAGGAGAGCTCCCCGGGCCCCGTGGCGAAAGGTGCCAAATGCTGAAAGCGGTGTGACCACAGAGGACGCGCGAGCGTCGTTGAGAGGAGAATTCCGAAGTTCCAACGGCTCGAAGCCTCTGGAAGATCAACTAGGTAACATGAAGCGACATGGATTGATCATGGGGTTGGTTACCTTGTCCTACCACTGGTGCAAGTGAACTGGTCCGTCTCTGATGGAAATGTCCAAAGGAGATCGGATTCCAAAGAAAAGGACTGTGGTGGTACTCTAAATTAAGCCCCCTCATTCCGTTGATTCAACCAGTGATTGGGTTGCCTGTGGGTTTGGGCTCTCGACGTGGACATGGTAGGTTAAGGGATTAAGGCAAATCTCGCATCCAACAATTGGAAACAAGGCCCGACTCCTTTCAAGCTTATGGATGCTTATGGTGATGTTCATGGGGTTCAAGCAGTCCCATGCTCACCCCTCACTGTAAGACTGAACCCTGAGTTGAAGCATCAAGGCTGAACTTGAGCAAAGAACCCTCTCAGCCACCCCCTCACCCCGTTCACTTCCATCCTTCACACCTCCTGCTTTCGCCTCACCCCCTGGAGCCGAACACGGTGCATCGATGCAAAGGCCTCATTCCACCTCCACATCCTCCACCCCCATCGCTGCGGTCAGACCCTGATTTTCCCGTTCGTGTCGGTCACCTTCATGCGGTTGACACGATGGTGCGTATTCTGATCGGGGGAATCCCTTGTTGCAGGGGGTCGAACTGCCTGGGAGGTCTCCCTGTGTTTTCGCTCGACCGGTGCTACCGGTCTACCACCAACCAAGGCTCCATCTCGCCAAGCCCGGGACCTCGGACCAATTCGTGACCTGAGACGATGATCTGGGAGATGAAAAGAAGGGAGCCTGGAGACATTAATTCGGCATGGTCAGTCTTGGGTGTGGCTCCAACAAACTACATCCAACTACTACCCAGTATTCCTGAGCTTGGGTGGCATTTCTCAATTTGCCCTCACACTCACACACCTTACCCACTCAGCTACCTCTGTGGGGGTGGTTTGTTGCATCTAGCCGGCTGCCTGCTCGGCTGCTAGACGGCTCTGGTCTTGGCCGGTTGTGAACTGTTACAGTGGTTTCAGAGTAGATGGCAATAGATGGCACAATCCCAAGTTTGGTGGTTTAATGGACCCCCATCGAAGGACATCTTGAAAAAAAGAACGGTACAGTTTTTTCCCGAAATTCCCCCAAAAGTGTTGATGTGGGATGTCCCTGACCGTTTCGACCTCTTCACGCGGCTATACAGCTACCGGAGCGACGCCGTGCGAGCAAGCGCTTCGACCGTGGAAGCCTGCGACCAGTGCGAAACATTGAAGTACTCGGTCCAACACTGCCGATGGGCCGGGCCAATGCAGGAGCAGTGAATGACTGAATGACTTCCAACCAATCCAACCAAAATGCCGCCGGTTTCGTGGATCTCACTCGAAGTTTGGCTGCACACACGTTCTTGTCCAAGCTTCACTTGTAGGATGATCAAGTCCTTTCAATGGGGAGGGTTCTCAGTACCTTGAGAGGTGGCAGGCCCTAGGCCCTAGGGTGCAAATTCTGCGAAAAAATAAGCAAACGGATCAAAACCTGGAGGTCCACCATGTTGACCCACAGCCCAATCACTCCGGGAAAAGCCAGGTCGCTTGCAAAGGATCTACCTCCACCGCCATGACCCGGCTTGACCGGGATGCCGGCGAAGCACTGAGTTTGCCAAGGCGCTGTGTGTTCGGTTGAGAGGTTTGAACCAGCTTCATGTGGGCGATGTGACTGTGTTTCGGAATCCTTAAAGCTGATCCGATCCTACTTCCGAAGATGACTGTCACACACACACACACACATATATATATATAGGTTGATGGTGGTTGATGCATGTTGATGCTTGGTTTGAGCTACTGACTTGGCTTGTCAAAAGTCTAAGAACTTCCATTGTCTTGACTCCTCATGGGCCATTGAGAACAGCATGTCTTCTTCATCCTACCGTCGCGACGATCCAGGGCCGCTGCAAATGGCACCCAGGCCGACCCCCCACATGAACAGCATCATAAACTCAAATACAGTAACCCTATTCGGATAAAATCTCTTCCGGGAAGTCATGCGGCCAGTGGTTTTGGAGGAGAGTTTTGGAACGTGGGTGCTGTGCACCATGACTCTGCCATAGCCCACTGACATGGGTTTTGCATGGCCTTGTCTCTTTTAATGGACACCTTAGACACATCATGCTATATTTCACGTTCGACATGTCCAACATGACATGAGAAGTTCAAAACCCATCATTTGCATTGTTCCAGGTGACATGTCAATCCACATAATCTTCTGGGCTGCTTTTGTCTTCCCATTATTGGTCACTGAAAAAGCTCCACTGGAATCCCTGATGAACCAGCAAACAAGTTCCTAGCAGCTGTGGCAGGTGAGCGGATATGCAGCCCTATCAAAGGAGCAAAACGCATTGAAGCGCATTGTGCCCCGAATGCAACTGGCCCGGTTGGAGGAAACCATGAATTCCCAATTGAATTGGGGCCAGTTGCGCGCTAATCTAAGACATGCGGGGTGGTTTGAGGGAATATCGTTCTCTTTAGCTTCTTTCAGCTCTGTCTGCTACGGGAAACATCAACCAGTTCTTCTGAAAACCCAAGGCCTCGGCATCCGTCCGTCCGCTCGACTTTCCCCGGGCGCTTGAAAAAACGCGCCGCGGAAATCGGTCGGAAGAGAAAACCATCTCGGGGCATCCGGACGAGCTGTTTCTGCCTGATCTCCTGGCGACGAATCTCGTGTCGGTGGTCTTCCACGGGCTTGTAAATACCTAGCAACATTCGATGGACTCGAGCTAGACTCCTGTAAAGAGAAGAGCCTGTCTTTGACGTTGTCTTTTGATGTCTTTTGCTATCACAGCTTCTAGGTCCAATGGGTTCTAGGTAGTTGACGAGTTGATCCCATGGGACTGGAACAGTTGTATTCCATTGACGACTTCCATGACTCGACTTGTGATGACCCCATCCATATATAGGTCGCTGTTCCAGTCCGGATGGAACAGAACACCTGGCTGGTCTAAACTCCGGACCTACCTCTGACAGGCTGTGTGACCAGTGCACGGACCTCTGATGCAACTTGGAGCCTCGGAACTCAACTCGGAGCCTCGGAAACGGCAGGTCGACACCTCATGTGCGCGTCGACAGAGTCGATGGCACCCCACCCCATGTCTGTCGACAGGTGCCACAGTGCCGGAAAAAACCACCGAATTCCTCCGGAATTCGGCCATCGAACCTCTGATTCCACGGTCAAACTTTCCATAACAAGTGATCCAAGCCCACCAACTGAAGCCGGTGACAGCACTACCGAGTGTTGCAAAGCCGGTGGCTCAAGCAACCGCTGCTAATCCGCACACGGCAAGAAGAACGGAGCATTCTCTATTATTAACTATGGACTATGATAGTATAGTGGTACTATGGACTATTAACTATGGACTTATAGTGGTTCTTGCATTGCTCCATCTTTTGCATCTTGCGCCCCCAGCTGCTCGCAGGAAAACCAAGCCAGTCAATACGTAGAACAGGAAGCGATGTCGGTAGCGAGCCGTCGCTGCACGAGTGTAGGGGCTGAGGATAGCCCTCCCAGGGATCTGGACCGGGTGGTCACATGTTACTGCTAATGGATGCTAATGGTCATGCCAATGAGAACTACATAACCCATACACTCCATGGGACTGCCATATACCTACATTGACCCCCCTGGCACCACCCCAATTTTTCTAGGCAGTCCTATGGCAGTCCCATGGAGCGTTTGGGTCATGGATGGTCATGCTGAATGGTTTGGACATGTTGGAAATATGCTGAATGCGATTGATCCATATCCACATGGATCCCTTTGGATCCGGGTTCCAGGTCTGTGGTGCGAGCCAGCACAATGGGCCTTGCTCCGGGGCGATGCGCCTTCTCTTTGAGGCTCTCTTGCACTTTCCGTTTCCTGTGGCGAGCGGTCCCGGACGGACCCAAGAAGGCCAAGTTCCAAAGGAGGTCAAGGCCAGGTAAAACCTACCAGGGCCCCCTTAAGGGGTGTCTATTCATGGGTGTCCATTGGCCAGCCCTTGTGGGTCCTGCCACATGTCTGGCGTGTCAGCTTTGGGAGGGTCCGGCCCGCGGAGGCATGTGTCCATCCACTGAGCACGGCAAGCAAGCCCTCCTAGTAGACTTGAGGCCTGCTGGTTGAGACCAGAAGCTGTCCATTTCAAGTCGTCTCTGTGAATACAGGATGTCCATCCACTTCAAAGGCTTTCTTTTTTCGCAGGCCAAGTGTTATTCACTTTTCATCCCACTGGACTTGAACAGGCGGCCATGCCCCAGCATATCTGTCTCTCTGGGATGCTTTTGTCTCTGGCTATGGTTTTCAGGGCTCATGCCCACGTGGAGTCCGCCCAATCCGCAAGGCATGGGTATGAAGAGGGGACGGCCTTTTCTCTGCGAAGGACCCCCTCTTTCCAGTACATACTCAAAGCCCCGAAAAGAGATAAAGGATGGCTAAGGGGTGTCCACGAAGCAGCCTACAAGTGGGTTCTTCTCTTTCTATGTTGTTACTTTTGGGAAAATCTTAAAGACCTTTAAACACTCACAACTTGAATTTAAAAGTACAACACAAAACAAGGTTGTCAATAGCGAACAAGCGCAACATGTTGTTCTTGGCACGTTTCATCTCCAACCACCACGCACGCAAAAAAGTGTTTTCCCAAACAGCCAGCTTCAGAACTTGCATATTATGAAACAAATTGGGTTGACAGGGCCCGGGCCGTTCATCCAAATCCTTTTGCAGCAGCACCTTCTTTTCTTCCTCGGCACCCGGCTTGTGGGGGTTGATGAACCAAATTAAACTTGGAGGGACTACGTAGGGGAAGGGCATGTGGGCCATTGTATACAGCTGTTTGGCCCAAGAACATTCATCCCGCCTTGTTGTGTTTTGTTTGTTTGGCACGCCTCCACTTGGGAGTGTCAGCACATTTGCTGACCCAAGCCAAGCAGCACAACAAAGCAACATCTTGGATTTGCTTCAGACGCCTGGAAAAAATAACAAGTATTCCCCAGAAGGGGATACTACACCCTCGAAAATTAACATGGAACCTGAAAACCACTGGCTTGTAGAGACAAATAATTAGTCGTCCAACGTTCCAATTTCAGGTTCCATGTTGATCTTCCCGGGTGTACGCATCAGGAAAATACAAAAAAATCCCTTATCATTATCTAGATTATAAGCAAAACGAGGACATTGCAAAAACATACACATGGTGCCGAAATGTCATGTGGCAAACCGATCTGCGCTTTAATATGTTATAAGTTATATATATATATATAGTTATATATAATTATATAGTGTTTTAAAGATCTTAAAAGTGAGCCCAGAGTTGGATGTATTTTCACTCTGACCCGTGACCTCATATCATCCCCTAAAAAATCCACCCAGTGACTCAGTGATGTCCCTTTAAGGAATCATAAGAAAGGGGTCGAAAAAAAGGTTACTTGGAGAGAAATAATGAGCATAATGGGGCAATACACCCCCTCTACGAATCAACTAACCAAAGAGTAAAAGGGCCATCTGTATCCCACCTGCACAAGAACACGTTCATTTTTCTCCAGCGTTGGAGCCCTCAGCTTGCCCGAGTGCGGTCTGGGTTGTAGTAGCCATTCTCCACCGCCGGCGAGCACGCGAGCCATGCACACAAATCTCCACCTGTGACCGGCACGCGAGCCGCGCGGATCGCGCACGCTGGGCGGCGCTCGATGGCCGTCTGCCTTCCCATCGGGGTTCGGCGAACTCAAAGGTTTACCCTGTCCATGAAATCTACAGGTTCCGGATTGAAAAGAAACCAGCCTTTCCAAGCCGCAAGGACCAACAACTAACAAGCACTAGCAGCTATAGCAATCAACAGCAACAAAACCCAAACACTCTATTGTATGCCACATTTGCCTGCATTGGGGAAATTGGGGGAGCGTCTGGGAAAAAGAAGATCAACACCAAATCTTCAGCAACACCATATGATTCATCTAATTTATGCCCATCTTGCTTGCCCTTTGTTTGCTCTCTTCCAGTGGCTCTTCACCTTCACGATCTCCCCCCCGTCCGCCTTCATCGACGCTCTTCAATTTGGAATCACCCTTGTAGCTCTTCACCATCTCCGTCTCGACAAAACCCGGAGAGCAAGCTACCGAAATGAGACGTCCCGAGTGTTGCCTTGGAGTTGCGGCTACAGGATGATGGCTGTAGATCAAAAACCCTCCTGTCGGGGTGTCTATGTATAGCCCCTTAGCTGTGATTCGGGGTGTCCATTAACCACCACTCTGACTGGGGGTCCTGGTAGATCAAACACATGGATGAAACAGGATATGGCACCGTGGGACGTCGGTCAAGCTCCTACATTGGGGTGGTTTCGGGGGCCAATGTAGACATATATGGCAGTCCCATGGAGCATCTGGGATATCCTATATTCCGCATATAGTTATATATCAAACATCAACCCACATCAAAATCCACCGAATAAAACATCCACCCATAGCATATAGGGTCTATGTCATCAAAATCATTCAACATCCACGCTGTAAACAAAAGCATAAAGAATCCACCCAAACCAGGTTGCTCAGCCATCACTTGGCACCAGCGGTTCCTGGAGACCGACGAAACCCGCGCCCAACGCGGTCTCGCTGGTGGAGTCGAGTCCACCAAAAAGACTGGAACAAGGGAAGCGCTGTTCTGCTGTGTTATTTTGTTGTGCTGTTCTTAGGGGGTTGGGCCCGGTTGGGCAGTGAAACAAGGGACCAGTCTGAAAATTCCTGGCTATGGCCGCACCCATGTCAAATGAATACGGACTTTGGCACCTCTGGAGGCCGCAACCTGGACCCCAAGCAAGTGATTCCTCAAGCAAGAAAAAGTTTGCCTGACAGAGTTCTGTACCAATGCTGGCATCGGCCCGAAGAGTCATGACACGCACCCTGAGAGGCATTGGATCCAAGTAAAACCACCTGGACGTTTCACCACCACTCTCCTGTTCCCCCCCCCCAAATGGCTTATATGGAACAGTTCCAACATATTCCGTGAAGAAGCTATTGTACAAGTCATGGAACCAGCACAATCAGGGTTCCGGTCATGTCTGGCCGAGATAAGGTGGATGTATTGACGTATACATCGTGTGGGTTAAAATCTGGAACCTCGGGTTGACCCCTAAAGACGAACAAATTTTTGCAGGATATCAACTATATATATATATATATACCAGTATATCATGCAAATGATCCCCCGAACAGTTTACTATTGGGGTTCTCTCTTGGTATAGTAAGTTACAGTATATTTGTAATTATCAACCTTCAAAGGGAACAGTGGAGAGGTTTGGTTGCATGATCGAACATATTCCCCTTCGTAACTGGTCCAAGAGTCAGGCAAGCCTTCGAGAAGCCGTAGGACTGGAGCCAAAACCTGGGCACTCCCGGACCAAAGGCGGCGCAGTTTGTGAGAAACGACGTGCGAAACGACTCGCTCGGTGGAAACCACCCCGTTTATAAGGGAAAATCAACATCCTAAGGGTCTCTGAATGGCACTTCCATGTCATGTGTTCGTCCGAGACTTAGTCCACTAAGAGTGAGTAATTGGTTCAGTACATCGTTGAGAGCTTGGGGAAACAAGTAGCGCCCTTTAACTGACTGGCGCGGGTTCCAGCAAAGAGAAAAAGCCAAGGCCTCTGAAGCAAACTCAGGTCACCCAGAATCGCTCAGGATGGGCAAAGGCTTCTCGGCTTGTTCTCGTGCTGAGGCCTCAGGAGAGAATAGAAAAACGCACGAACCCCTACGTTACAAATAATTACCCGAGAGTAACGTCTCACAGCGCCCTCTGTCCAACATGAAGTGGACAGCGATGGACAGCGGCTTGTCCACCGAACCGTGCAGCTGGAGAGAAAGCCGCCGCTGATACTTCAACAAAACATCCACATGAATCTACCATCCAGGCATAATATCCAGGCTGTGGCTGTGGGGCAGGTCTTTGATGGATTTTGTTGTATGTTGGGCCGTACCGAAACGAGCTCCGTCTCTACCAACCATCCGCTTTGGGGACCTCTGAACGGGTCGACCTGCTGTGCAGCACCGATCCGACTGAACCACCGTGATCGACCACCGAAGCCCGAGGTTCCCAGACACGACACGGACTGCCAAAAGGATCCGTACCAGACACGACCCGTCTGGGACTGCCATATATGATATATGCTTACATTGGGGTGGTTTGGGGGGTCAATCTATAGGCATATATGGCATACACGGAGTGTCTGGGCTTGTACACGACCACTAAACCTTGGACGTTGGTGACTCGGTCGTCAGGTTCGACCGCTCGAACGCTTGTAGCTGAAGACCGCGCGGTCCGTGGGTTTGGGAGGCTCCATGTGGTCCTCTGCAGGGGAGTACAACCTCAAGGGGACCGGGGGACGTTGATGTGGCAAAGAGCGGCATGCGGCTGCATGCATCTGAGCGGATCCCAAAGAAATATATATATATATACCCCCCTGCAAATACCCATGGAGAGGTTGGGCCGTTCATTCTATAGAAATGATTTGCGGGAGCCAGAGTTTTGGCATTATACAATGCAAGTGCTCGAGGACACTCACTAAAGAATGCAAGGACTGAAACACAAAAATAAGAAAGGACAAAGTGCACTACAAAATGGAGGGTCTAACCTCAAGCTCTGAACAATGAGTCATCTATAAACTCTGGTTTTTCATTTTGTAGTGCACCCACTGGTGATTTCCAAAATTGACAACCAAAGGTTGGGCACTGTCATTATACAAAGTGCAGGTGGCCCGAGAACAACTTTTCATTCCCGGGAATGAAACCTCGCTTTTATATAGATTGCAAGGCTCCACCCCCTCCCAGGGAGCCAAAAAATAAACTAAAATGCAGAATTGTAGTGGCCCTAAGGCCATCCATTCTGTAGTGTTTTTTCCAAGGGGTATATATATATATATATGAATTGTTAATTTTTATAGAAAAAATAAGGACACTGAGCCGTTCAAAGCTCGCCTCATAATCCTTCACAAATTCCTCGCACATCCGCTGAATGCCCATCTCGTCAGCTGCCATGAGCTGCTGCCTTCGCTCCTAAAGGGATTCAAAAGGATCCAAAAGGCTCTCAGTCATAAGGTGCTTGAAACCTTCAAATTCAGTTTTAACCAACTTAGTTGAACACTTATGATCGCAAGCCTATGCCAGACTTACAATTCCTCTGTGTTTTGGGTCTTTTTCAACTTTCATCAACTTTCAACTAAAAAGCGGACAACGTTGAGGCATGAGGAGGCACATGGATTGGATCCCGTCGTCTGTTGGCAAGATGCATTCTGCCGTTTCGGATGGGTCGGACACAAGTACTTCGGCTGGTCATACTCTCCGCAAGTACTTCGGTCCTCCGACATCTTCGACAGGTTGGCCGCCCCAGCCCCACTGCTGACCACAACCAGCCGTCCAGCCCCAGTAGCTAGTAGCTCAGGCAAGAGGGCGCTGGTCAAGCGGATGCAACCAAAAAGGTTGACATCTAAGGTCCTTAGGTAGCTTTGAATGGTTTTGTGAGGCCTTTAAGGCACTTGGACCTGATTTGCTCGGATGATTTAGGATGTTTTGGTTGCAGGCGGCTTTGAGATGGTTCTGGAATGGCATGATCTACTCTTGAACTGGTTTTGTTTTCGGTTGTTTGCAGCTTTGAGATGCTTCTGGAATAGTTGCGTTTTGTTTTGAGTTGGTTTGGTACTGGCGGTGTCATTGGTTGTGAATGATTTGGTCTTACCTAGCACTAGGTACCAAGTCGATCTGAGTTCTGAGTTTAGTTGGGCCGATGAAATAATTACATGGAGTTCATCCTGTCAAAGGTGGATGCTTTCAACAACGCCATCAGAACTCGCCCATGGACCATGGTTGATTCATCTTCCAGGGCGCTTCCGTGCAGCCTCGGCGGGCCATGGCGCCTCGAACCACGGTAAGTCGAAAGCCACCCCTGCGTTGTGCACCACCACCAAGGGGCGCCCCTCGCGGAGGCGCGCAACCTGCTCAGCAGCACGTTGGCCTGAGTTTCTGGCACTCTGAAGGAGGATGAAGCGACTTAAAAACCCAATCTGCCGCAAAAAAAGGCCTGGACCAAGGTTGGGAGGTGCACCTCGGCCAAGGTTAGAGACCGCCTGCGTGCACCGGTCCAAATGCTCTGCAGGGTCAACGCACGGTGGCACCCCACGGCACAACAAAAAGTTATGGCATCCTCCCACACCCTGTCGACAACTCGAAGGCTCGACCTTGCTGATGCAGGGCTCCGGTCGAGCAGGACTCCAGCAGGACTTGGGATACAGCTCCAAACCGTTCCAAAAGACTTCAACAGTTTTCAGGGTCGCAGATCGAAACATTGGGCTCAATGGTTCATGGGTAAGACTTGAGTGTATATACCGCAGTTCCTGTTGAACCATGTTCTCCCAGCTGCGATAATGAGAACTGCCAGCTGGTCTCATAGCAAAATGAACATGCACCGACTGCCTAATGTTTCGGCTTATGTGGTGGAGACCCACCAGCCGAAGCGGCAAGAAGCCTCGTCCGCCACATCCAACCTCACGGATTTCAGAAAAACTGGGCTGTCCAGGAACCGGGCAAAAAGCAAAAGGAAAAACAACACATCTAAACAATCATCTGTGTCATTGCCAAAAAATCACCCAGTTCGAGATATAAGAACACCCCATCCGCTAAATCAAGCCTCTAATCAGTGTATGGGTCGACGAATAGCAGTCGACATATGGCCAAGCATCCAGACTCAGCCCCCCAAAAAGGCTGCCCACCAACCATTGCTTTGCTAAGGGTTTTACACGATATACACAAGTCAAAACTGGTAAACTGTTTTTATTCGTCCTGGAAGGCTAGGGTAGCCGATCAGGACCATCGGACCATCACCAGCCATCCGAAGATGTGCATGTTTTTCCGGTGCCATGAGCTCTACGGGTTAGTTGGCCTCACATTGCAGGAGTTGATCATGCAAAAAACACTACACTGAGGAGTTCAGGACATTTCAGAGCCAGGATTAAACAAATGAAAGTGGGTTGTCTGGCCAAAGCGCCCCCATGATGATGTTGATGATGGTGGCGGTGATGGTAGTGTTGATGGTGGTGCTGGTGTGACACAGTGCTGCGCCTGCCACGAAATCTACACCCCGCCAAGGTCGACAAAGTGCTGCGGCCGCCACGAAGTCTGCACTTCAAGGTCCAAAAAGTACCGCACCTGCCACGAAATCCACGCGCAGCCTGCCCACAGAAATTTGCACTTCAGCACCGGCCACGAAATCTGCACTTCAAGGTCCACAAAGATTCACGTTGAGCAGCCTGCCAAGGCGATTCGCAGCAAGAGCACTTCCAGGGACAACATCAAGATGCCAAAAAGTTTCTGAAATCGAGCCACATGTCCAAAAAGGTCACGACTCACCGCGCCTGCCGCGAAAACAGAGCACGCCGAAGACAACCACCATGTCCCAGGTACTGCGCCTGCCACGAAATGAAATCCGCATACATCGACATAAAGCCGCTCCGATCTCCTGCGCCCGTCTCGACAAGTTGACGTTAGGCCGCCAAAACACGAGGTTTCCCTTGCGCCTGCCATGGAAAGTGATCACCAAGTCTGAAAATGCGCACGGCACCACAGCGAGAGCGCAGTCTTGAAGAGCACCAAATTCAGCGAGCCTACGCAGTCGAAGTGCACGTCGAAGATCTCGAGGTGAATGAAATTGCTGTAAAATAGCGCGAATTAGCCGCCGGCGGATGCGAGCACCTCGATCAAACACCCGTCCTTAACCCCTACCATAAGAACCCCTAGTGTTAGCACAGTGCTGGACAACCCCTGGCCCTGGAATAATTGGTGGGACTTGATGTGAAAGAAGTAAACTGCATCTATTATCTACTTCTTTCCAAGCCAGCCATGTGGAAAACATCCAACGGGGTCACATGAACTTGCCGAACCACAAATACCACCACGCTTCCGTTCCCGCTGTCCACCTCCTTTCATCTTCCCGTTGTCCAGCAGCTCCAGGGCCATCGCCCCTAGCTCTTCCGCCAAGCTCTGGGCCGCTGCCACACGCCGCGCGCCCACGAGCAGCTGGGCCTCCGGCGCTTGACGCCGGAGCTGGCGGCAAATGCCGACGCCCAAGCCCCGTGCCGCGCCCGTGACCAGAATCAGAGCCATGGCCGTGAAGAAAGGATGTGCCGGCCGGTCTTCTTGGATTTGTTGTTCACATACGAAATGCATCCCTGAAAGAGGCTTTACATGGGAAAGAGAAACTCACTATAAGCAAACGAGAAAATTGCTTTCTTCCCTGGTAGGGAAAGATAAAATTACCAGGTCTGGAAGGTGCCGGCAAGTTTCAGTGTTGAGAGACCGTGTTCTTTCTTGAAGTGAGTTGCCAGGGATTTCCGGGTTTGGAAATTCTCGAAGCATTAGCTTGATGTTAGCTTCTATTGCCAATCATAATATCTTACGATCGCAAAACCATCTCTTACTTTACTCGACCGGCCCAAATACATGGGCCCTGTGATGACCCTGGAATCTTGCTCGGAAATGCTGGCTGGAAAGCAACATCTGCCGGAGTGTCAACTTGGTCAGTTAGGAGGTGCCTGCGTCATGTGCTGCCTGCCTTATTGAATTCCATCCTTCAGTGTGCAACACTTAGAATCGAATCAAGAATCTGGAGCGAGCGCAGTGGATGTCCCTTTCCAGGCCTTCAATTCCTCAGAAGGACATGCTCAATGATGTGCCAGCATATCGAAATATGTTCCAATTCAACTTGGATTGGTACTCAAACTCACCACCTCTTCAACGAGCCCTCTGCACGTGTTTGTCGCGAAGGAGCTTTCTATCCAGGTTTGGGCAACGACCGGACAGTCGTTGAATGCCCCATAGGTAGCCATATGGCCTGACTTTAAGCCACCAACGACCAGCGGCTACCTATGCAACAGCGAAAGAACAGGAAACCAAAGCAATGTTTGTTGGTTCCCTGGTCGCTGCGAAAAAGGTGCCAAAATTTGGAACGCAACCCCGAAAGGCTGAATCGAGTGACAAAGACTTTTCTGGAGGCCAAAGAAGCCATCCGGGACTAGATGGGGCTAGAAAACGGGCATCATCCCTTTGTAGACGTCAAGCCAAGCCCTGATCTATCCTAAGTTGCTGTCAGCTCGCTCCGCTCTCATGCTCAAACTGGAGAGTTCGTGTTCTTGATATCCACCACCTTCACATGGGAGATGCTACCCCAATCAAACCCAAAGCGGAACCCCTCAAGACGGAGCTTGGGGAAAATCATGAATGATGTAGATATCTCGTGGTGATCTTCCTTCTGGAATCGCTGCGAGTGGTTTGCTACTTGAAATTAACATAGAACATGAAAGAACGTCATAATGTCATAGAGCAAGGTACATCACGTGAGACCTGATACATATTGGAAATTATTGGAACGCTGTAATTTGTTCTCTCTCCCACTCTCTCTCGGTCCTCCCTCTCTTTGGGGAACATTCGCTTCTGCAGCTGACACTAACCTTCTTTCGCAACAATTTCGGCCCGATCCGCCTTGACCTCTGTGACCTTGGCATCCTTGGCCTTTGGCATCTCGATTGCCTTGGCCTTCACCTTGCCAGCCAAGCCATAGATTCGCACCAGGATCACCACCAAGCAAGCCAGCAAGAAGGCGCAAAGGTTGAAGACGGAGGAGCCGGCGGCAATCCTCAGCATCTGAATCATGGACTATGGGACATGCTTGGTGGAATCAGGTGGTTTGGGGCCGATTCCTTTTCAAGGATTCTCGGGAGATGTTGCGGAAACTCCCTTCAGTACACGGCGAGTCAGCTGTGATCGTCGAACTCGAGGCCATCTGATCAGCCCTTGAGGGTTGGCATCTGACCTCCACTCGACACACCGACTGGAGCCAAGGATCTGTCCCAGGAAGATCACAATGACAGCCAAGGCTTCGCCCACGTTCTTCTGGATGCCATCCAATGACTTCAACAAGTAGAGCGTAATCAAGGACTTGGAGGTAAAGGACACCGTCACGATCCTCGAGAAGGGGCGTGAAAAACAGAACGAGCAAGACGAGAGACGGGCGTTCCGGAAGGAACAGGTGGACTTGCCGCAAGGGAGTGAGGGAAAGGTCTGAGTGACTTGCGCATGCGTGGTACTGATGGATGGTACTGATGATGGGTGGTCCTTATGTTCATCTTTGCGTGGCAGAACACGTTGCACCAGTGGGGCGGGTCCTCAACACTGAACTCACTTTGCATCCTCAATATTGCTTAGCCAGGCGATGCGATGACTTCGCCGCATTGCGCCAGCCGATTTATGGGCTGACAACGTGCATACATAACATAAGTTTCTTTCTCGCGGCCACAGCACCCCCAAGACAAACTCTGAAACGCGCATAAACAATGTTATTCTAGATGTTTATATTGTATGTATGCGCAATGTGATTGTATATGAGTGTGTCATTGACAAGAGGAAAGACATATATAAGACATTGACATTGTATAGTGTCATCATGGTCTATAGAGTCTAAAAACTTTGTTACAATGAGTGTCTTAAAACTCCTTTCTATCTACTCTGGGGATCCCTAGATGCAAGCACACTCCCTCTTTGCATTCTTTGATTCCAGGTGATTCACTGATTTCCTGCGCTCAGCGCGGCTCACGTGATTTCCACCAAGGTTCCAGGTGGCCAACGTCCAGTGATCAAAGAATCCAGCTGCACTCCACTGATATGATGGCTGCACACTGGGCTCCATGACTGCAGCAATGCCCACGGAAGCAATCACACGAGACAGCGACATCAAGGAGAGCTTGGCGGACATGGACATGTTGCCTTGGATTTGCTCGTCAATAAACAAAATGACAATCATATATTGTAACCCAAAGATTCAAGTCACCCACTGGGGAAGACAAAAGGAACTCTCACCCTCGAAGAAAGGAACGACCAGGTTGCTGAAGCCCTTCAATTTCGCATCGGAAAGCACGGCTGCGTAGCATGACACTCCCACCTTGAGGAGGACCATGGCAACGCCCATGAGAGGAAGGGAGCCTTCACCCGAGCCGCTGCCGGAGTCAACCATGACGAAGGCTGAGATCGCTAAGGTGGCAGCGATCAGCACGTTCCACTGGAGGTCGCTCTGTGTGGTGCCTTTCAGCTGCTTCATCATCACCGCAGTGATCAAGAGCTTGGATTGAAGCAAGAGCTGGTACACGCCACCCGTCATCGCACCCATGGAAAGCATTTCCAAGAAGTCGCCAAAGGCATACCAGAGACCTGCAGTAACAGGTTGCGACCGGCGAAGGCGTGTTGATCGGTGGATCGATTTAGGAGGTGATCGAGCAAGAAACAAAGGGAATGAAGCGCCCCGAGGGACCAATGAGGATGAAGATCGAAGCGCCCTTGGGAATCTGCCAGCATGCTTTCCTTGGATTTGCTGTCTGAGAACCGGGAAACACCGCGCAAGCTTCCCAGGGATTCACCCAAAGGGAACCTAGAACATCATAGAACTAACCCTCACCCGCCGAAGCAAGACCAGGTTTCACACCCTTCATGCCCTCCTCCTGCCAAGCCAAGAAGTTCACGAAGACCATCGAGAGGAGCTGACTCATGATTGCAGGAGAGTTCTTGGAGTAGAGCATCTTGCCATCCTCAGGGTGTTCTCACCCTGTCAATATATAACATAACTTACCAGGTTCTAGCGAGATGCGGCACATGAAAGCTGCCAAAAAAAAACTTAACATGAAACCCCAGGCAGGTGAACAGGTGAAAGCTGTTTACCCCCTGCGAGTTGGGGGGCACATGCCAAGCATGGGATGCGCGTGATGCCTCCTTGGAATAGTCAATGACCATGGGATGCAATGCGCGAGAGAGCACAAAAATGATGAAAATGCCCATGGTTCCCTTGGCGGCGGTCTCACCTGCCATCATTTGCTGCGATCCCGGAATCTTGTTAGAGCGGCAATGGACTGGAGAGCTGCCAACAGCTGCAGAGTCATGCCAGCACCCTTGTGTGAGGGTTGGTCGGTGTTGACCCAAGTAAATTTAAAGGTGCACACTGCAAACTGCAAACTGCCTATAATTAACTTGGATTTGCTTAAGGGACTGTTGTAGAAGGCGATTCACCCATAGGGAAAAACACATCGACCAAAAGCAAAACCAAGGTAAGGGTCAGAACTGCACACAGAAAGTATGAACATGGTGAACCATCCCCAATCCTTTCAGTGGGACCCCGTCAACGAACTCGATTCTGGCCATGCGAAGCTGCAGCTATGGTTTTATCTTGATCCATCACTTCGAGATCAGCATCCACCACTCAGGAGCCCGGCCAAACACTTACTCTTCACCTCGCATTCTGTGGCTTCTGCGTGGACCTCCGCCATCCTGCAGCAGTCGGAGACACGGTGCCCAAACTGGTGCCAACGGCCGGTGGTTCCAGAGTCCAGTCGTGGTGGACCATCCAGTCCAGTCGCGAATGGACCACACGAGTTTCGTTGGGGGTCAGGTTTGGGGCGCAACCTCGGTGCCCAGGTCACCGGGACAGACTGCCGTCTGTCCACGACCATCGGACTGGCACATGGACCGCCGACGGTCAACCACCCCTGACCTGATCGGCCTATGGCAGTCCCATGGAGTGTTGGGGAGTGGTGATTCTTGTCACCCCCACCTTTCTTGGACCTTCTGACAGCCGGTCGCCGGGGCAATCAACAACAGGAAAGCTGTTGTTGGTGCACATGTATCCCGTATGGCCCATGTTCTGTGTTCAAGGGATGATGCCGATAATGCCTCTAATGTGGATTCCATCCACATGGCCTCATGCAACATGACTGACTTCCTTTGACTTCTGCCTAATTCTGTGGCACTACATGGTGCACCCGAACTTTCCACCAGTCACCCGTGAAGAAGGGGTCGTGGAATACCACTCGTCCCGGCGCCCACTCGATGAATACCTCCGATCAAATCTTGGGTCCTGGAAAAATGTTGAAAAAACCTTCTGAATGCAATTCTCAGCACCAAAACCACTACAGTACCAAAACCCGCTCAGCAGTGCACTAACACAACAAACTGGAGCAGTCCATCTCCGGTTTCGGATGGATCCAGCCTCTAGGACCCGAGGGGAGTGGTTCTCATCATCTCCCCATTCACCGGGTTTGGCCAGGGACCCTCTGTGACCCTCTCCCAGTCCTGTGCCTCTACTCATGACACATGGGCATGGTGGCACCGAAGAAAGACCTCCAAACAGGGAGCCGGACGCCTTCACGTGGCTGGACGCCACGACGGTTCACGGCTCGCTCTTCGCTCTTCGCCTCGACGGAAGGACTGGCCCCCCAACGGCCTTCGCCCGCCTCCGAACAACGCGAGTCCGACGCGAGTCCGATGGGAACGACGGTTCCGCTGCTCCTATGGCTGTGCTTCTCCAGCAGCTCTCGACTCTCCTTCAAGTCCTGACCGCTGTAAAGGCTGGAAAGCTAGAAAAGGCTTGAACTTCCAACACTGGCTATGTGGTGGTCTTGGCAAGTCTCCATCAGGTGCCTCAACCGCAGTATCAAATGTTTAAGGTTTCAACATCTTTCAAGACATCTGAGACATATTTGGGTCAAGTATGGTCAAGTTGGAACTCAGAATGCGTCATCTCATAGGTAAGTAGGTTGCAAACAATATCGTTGACCCAGCCAATCATGATGATTGCATCTCAATGTGCATGGGCCTCTCCTCAGCTGCCCCCATCCACATGCAAATGACAATGGCTAATTAAGGACCACCAAATATACGAGTCAACCATTCATCCGTGGAAGTTCCATATTATACGGGATATGCATGTGTCGTTTCAAGCATGGATGGGAGGTATCTGGAATCTAAACCATCCGTCTGAGTGCCCAATGGAGACTTTTAAGTCCGGGTCACTGCCAACCCAAGAAAATAGTAGCCAATGTGCTTGATAACATTGCATCACCATTCTCAAATCTTAGTGGAACAACAACCAACCACTAACCTTTCTCAGTCTAGACATGTCTAGACTATACCTTCTTCAAAGACCTGAAGGGCTCAACTCCCCAAGACTGCGACCTTGGCCAATCAATACATCAACAAATGAACCAGCACGTGGGTAAGACTGAAGTAGTACTCCTCGCGGGGGGAGGTCTCCAATCTTGGACGCTGTTCCCCGGATTCGCCAGATCCCTGCTCGAGATCCCTCCCAATCACTTGCCTGCTCCAGTCGTCCCACCTGGAGCCAAGGGGGCTTAGTATGAGAATACCAAGTTCCTTTCCAGCGTAGAACTCCCGTAGTCCCCCAAAGAAGCGTTGTTTGACAATCGGCACAGCACCCAAATAGTGATAGTAGTGGAATGAGGGCCCAATGTCCCAGTTTGAGGTGACGATATGGGTCTGCGAAAGGTCACCAACAGGGATTCCAAAAGGTCACTTTGAAGAATCTGGCATATGGATTCCTCGTTCAAGATCAGGAAAACTCTGGGAGCGGTTCTGATACACACTGAAAATGGATCCTCCGAGTGTAAAAGGGTAGGCCCCAGGACCCTTGCCTTTTGTTCAGTTCATGTTTCCGTTTTCTCAATAGAGTGCGTTCTTTCAAACAAAGGGCTTCATGGATGATCATTTGGACACACCAGCCTGAGCATGCATTTCCTTTGCTGTGATGCTTTGGGGAATGAACAGTTCCTCTTCCCATCTTTGGGGATGATGAGCGTGCATCCTGGCTTGAAAGGATGGCGACATGATTTTCTATCTTTCCTCTGCGTGCTCCCCATTAAACTATTACAAGTCGGACCATGCGAAACTGCACTCCTGCCCCCCAAAAGCACATCTCATTTCCCAAACAATCTAGCAGGGCGCCCCCAACACCCAAGGTTGTCGAGTTAATCGTGTCAAAGAAGGAAAAACATGTATTGTAAGGAGCGCATGCCTATTCACAGCACAGAAGTCGGTGATTATTCAAAGCATATATAAGCAGTATGTAATTGTCTCGGGCATTTGCCAGGATGAAGACACCCGCCTGAGAACTGAGAAGTCTTGCACAGAGGGGCGACAGACCACGGTATTGGACTGCAAAACTACACGCCATTGTGTATGTACCCACCCACTCGAATCACCACCAATCGTACCCCTCTGTCACTAGCGACACGCTGCAATTGCACACGCATGTGCACCCTTCCCCAATGGCACAAAGCCAAACAAACGCACTTTCCACCAAGGCCTCGCAAAACGCATGGCACAACGACATCACCTTCCAAAATCTTTACGTAGTTGTTAGTCACTGTTGGTCTGATGGAAATTTCACAATCGAAGAAAATGAAAGAATCAGTGCTTTAAATAAAAGGCTTTTGCAAAAGGCAAAAGGAAAGGGAAGAGGGAAGACCCTTTGATCTGGAGGTGTTTTCCATTTTTGATACGAGGTTATTAATAAATTATGTAGTGCTTGATTGTGTATAAATGTTTCCTATCATAGGTCACTGTTCGGTTTTGAAGCTCTTCCCAGGTTTCCATCTTTTGCGGGCGCCCCTACTTAGGGGGACCCCTACTAACCCCCAAAACGCCGGAGTTTCTGCAATAGTAGGCCCCCCCCCCTCAGTGCTTTTGGTCGGTTAAAGGATCCAAGTTCGATGGACCGAACCTGGAGGTGCCGGAACGACCCGGTGCCCCTTTGGCGCCTAACCACGCCCCGCGCCCGTCCACCGAACCCCCGTCCACCGCCGCATGAGCAGCGCTGGCTCTTCGCTCCGGGCGCGGTGGCCTTGCTCTCTTCTTCCGACAGCTTGCTCTGCTTCTGCTGCAGCACCGCGATCGCCTGAAGCCAAATCGCTCTGAGGGACGGACACGGGTGGAACACTGGAACGGTGCCGTATCCGGACCCTCGAAAACCCACCCCAGTTGCACCGAACCGAAACGAAGGTACGACTGGAACCCGTTGGGACTTCTTGTGATGCTTAACATCTGTTCTGTGATTGGGACATCGTAAAACGTTGCCATACTCTTGCAGGATTTCCCACCTGGGGAATTTAACTTTAGCCACCTGGGAGTCTTCCGGTGCACTTCTTCCCTCACCTCCACCCCGTCGACTGCTTTCAGTCCTCTGAGCAGCGCAGACATGTATAGACTGTATAGAATATCCACTCAAACTTGAATAACATGTCAACAGAAAAAGTGTATCACTGCTTTGCACATCAACAGCCCAGTGTCAGGTCCCTTTTTCATCCTTTTTCAGACGGTGCACGCCACAAAACCTCGCCGACAAAAAACGAGTCGACACACCCTACCTCCTTCGCTGCTCGATCACCTCATCCCACCCGGTCAGACGACACCGTTCGCTTCGCCCAGCGACGTCGGTGGCAGCGGTGCGCACCGGCGAGTCGCCGCCCTGGCCGGGGATCGGACGGGTGTGGCAGATACAAAGAGATGCAAAGATCAGAAACCCAAAACACAGAACATCTCGTTCTGACCAAATAGACAAATGATTGGATTATCATATTAATGAATCAATCGATCAAGCAATCTATCTATTTGGGAAGCTTTATCCAGTGGACTCAGTGGACACCCATGGTTATGTTCAAGGGAAAATCGTCTGGGTGCTTTCGACAGGGGATTTTTGGTGGATTAGGGATCGTCTTGGAAAGTTTCTTCACCTAGTGAATCCTAGTAACCTGGCAGTTGGGGGCGAAAACCGGACCCTGGTGGACACCTGGGTCGATGAACAGATTCCTTGGTCGACCTGTCAGGGTTTGGTGGTGGTTTTGACTCGCCAGCGGACGTGCCAAAGCCCCACAAGGAGAGTCTTTGAATAGACCCGAGAAGGAGAAACAGGTTCAGGAGTGTCCATTGACTCACCATCCCGACCGGAAAACCCAAGGACGCAGGACGCAGTGACATACATAGCTTGGGTATATCGAACCAGGACCCAAGTGGATGATGGTTAG